TATAGCACTGTAGCACTGTCCTCCATTGTCCATAGATTTGCTCGAGTGGGCACCAGTAACGTTTCACAACAAATTGTGAGATTCTATTACTGTTTTTGGCATATCGAATACGTCATGGGTAGTTAGCCAGGCTTGGCAGTGGGAGCGAGATACTTTCGGTAGCTTTCGGTAGCTTGTAAAGCAAACGCTCTACCCGCTGTGCTATTGCTCCAGCCCAAAATGGATATAAGTGTATTTATTTATTTTGGGGTTTGGGGCCACACCTGGCAATGCCCAGGCTTCATCCTGGCTCTGCACTCAAGAACCCCTCCTGGTAGGTCTTAGGAGGGGATGCCAGGGATCCAACCAGTGTTAGCAAGTGGAAGCCAAGAGCTTTCCCCCTCTTTACTATCACTGTCCTCCCGTTGTCCATCGATTTGCTGGAGCAGGTCCAGTAACGTCTCCATTTTGAGACTTGTTGTTACTGTGTTTGGCATATCGAATACATCACAGATAGCTTGCCAGGCTCTACTGTGCGGGCGAGATACTCTTGGTAGCTTGCCGGGCTCTCGGAGAGGGGCGGAGGAATTTAACTCGGGTCGGCCATGTTGGCTGCGTGCAAGGCAAATGCCCTACTGCTGTGCTATCGCTCCAGCTTTTCAATTGCTATGGCCAAAAACGTTTTCAAATCCAGCTGTAATATGACCGTGAGATGGCCAGAGTCTAGCTGCAGCTTACTGTCTGCAAAGCAAATAAGGTCCATGAGACCTTGATTTCACTCCTAGGGGTTGGAGTAGGGGCTGAAGCAGGTGTTGGGTCTGCAGAGGAGCAGAAGAGTCTGTGGTCACACGAAGGGGTGTTCTCATGTCTGATCAAGTCGCAGGCAAGGACAAAAGGACGGGGAGTGAGAATGACCACAAGAGAAGCCACTTCAGGGAGCCAATCAGAGGAGGCTTAGAATTATCATGTGAAAGGCTTGGAAACCATAATTCTCATTCATATATTCAGAAGTATGGGAGGGGGTGGGGGTCTGCACGGGAAAACAGCGGAGCGGGGGACCCCTAGGTTCTAACCCCATCCCCTCCACACCCAACCCTGCTCCACCAAAATTGAACCGAACCACAGAAGAATGGAAATGGGCCAGACAAAAGAATGGGACTAAAGATGGAATTCAGGAGCTGGAGACCGTGGAGCCCCAGGAGCACCCAAAGGGAAGAATGTTTTCAGTGGGAAATGGGAACACAGGGTGGGCACCGGGAACAGTGGGCGGAAGACAGAGCGATGATGCTGGCCGTGAGTCCCTCCAGGTAGCAGAACTGTCAAGCACATATTGGACCCCCTCAAAGCCAGGTGGAGGCTGTGAACTGGGCTCTGACGCTTCCAGCTAGTCTCTTACTGCAACCAGCCTCGGAGTTTCTGCAGAAGACAGCCTGTGGGGACTCGCCGTGTGTTGCCTGGATACTGGTAGACACTGCAAGGCAGCGGGAAGCTGGGGGGGCAGGGGGTATCTGGCAGTGCAAGGTGCCCCAGCCCAGCACTGCTTCCCATGGCCCCCATCCCAGCCAAGCGCCAACCCACCTTCAGCGGAGAGGACTGGAAAAGCGGCTGCAGGTTGCAGGCCCATTGGGCTGAGTGGGCGGCGCACGCGAATACAATGTGACCACGGCCTAGAACCACGGATGGGGTGGCAGCAGCGCTGGGGAAGACCCGCACGGCATTCAGAAGGCGAAGCGGGGAAGGCTGAGGACAGAGAATGTTGCAGGGACGCCGCGGTCACCCACCGCACAGAACTAGAATTTCCTCCATCTAGAATATTTCTCTATACCCTCAAACCCAATACAGTAATACACACTTCTCTAATACTGCATACTGTTTTTCTTCTATAGTCTAAACGGAAAGTTTTTATCTATAGAACTGAGGTTGCATGAAGGTTGGTGTGGGGAGGGTGGAGAATTGGGAAAGGTCCTTGAGACATCAGTCAAAGGAATTAGTCGCTGGTGTTACGTGTGGTACTGCAAAGATGTATGCACAAAATCAATGATTTACGATACTGTAAATCCTGGTATCACAATAAAATTGACATAGTTAAAGATTTTTTAATAAGAAAGCACTGAAACAAGCTATATTTAGCATCACAATAATTTTACATACCAAAGTAATATCTGATTTCATATTAATTCTTGTAATTCCCTAGAAACGATAATATTTTTATCTAAAATATGCCTTTTCACACTTAGGACCTCACACATTTACCTCTTTGTGTTTGCATTACTGATAAGAACTTTGTAGCATTTTACTAATCACCATTTACATGGTACATGGTAAAAGACAAGTAATCATTTTTTTAAATATTCCACAAAACTCTGAAAATCTTAACTTTAACATGGCACTTTCAGAAATTTAAACTGCAGCTTAAAAATATCAACTGCGCTCAAACACATTTTCATTATTTTAAAAGATCCTACAGACAACAGTAAGCAAAATGAAAAAAAAAACGTGAGCTGCACACAGTAATGAAGTTGAATGACTGGAGAGCTTGCTCAATGGGCTGACCACATGCTTTGCATGCAGGAGGCCCATGTTTAATGCCCATCACCACCAAGTTCCCATCATCAAAAGAAGTCCCCCCGAGCACCAAGACAGGAGTATTCCCCAAGCACCAACAGATGTGGTCCCGAAACAAACAAACAAACAAACAAACAAAAAATACATACCCTATTCCCTAATCAGTATTTCTACAAGACAAGCAATATTTAAGCACATTATCAAGGTAAAAAAACCAACAGACTATACTTATCCAACTCAAACCCTTATTCATTCAGAATCACAAATTAAAATGGAAAAATGACCTCTACTCCAAACCAGAAAAAAACTCTTCAAAACAACTTTGCAGTAAAGCAGTATACATATCAGCAAGGTATTCATGAAGGCTACCTTCAATGGAAACCATCGTTTCCTTTATATTCTTTACTTTTAGAAGTTTACTGCAAAGAGACAAAAGTATATGGAAGCTGGAAGTTTACAAAGGAACTTTCTTTGTTCTATTCAAGGAAAATATAAAGAACCAGTAAAAGTAAAATTCACTTTCCAGAAAATGTTTCTAGTCATTGTAAATAATAGTAAATCCACAATTTTTAAGAGACTCTTTTCTTAAAGAATGCCCAAACTGCAATACATACAACATTCAAAGTTATAGAGATATTCAGATTGCCATTTTCCTTACCATTGTTAAAAAAAACAACAAGGAAAATTTAAGCCTCCAATTTTGATAGATTATATTATGGTCTATATAATAGCATAACCTGTTGGAAGAACTTTTATATCCAACAAACAAACATAGACTATGACTCAAAATAAAATCACAACATAGAGCAAGAACTTTACTTTGCATTTGTTAGTATAATAGGGTACAAATTCACATGCTTGCAAAAGTGGAGATGAAACAACAATCAGCAAACTTGTAGGTCACCAGGAAGCTGAAGGTTTGGGAAACAGAGAAGCTATTTCCACTTTAATCTTGTCCCTTGAGTAGTGGCATAGGAGAAGACTCAAGAACAAAAAATGAGAGCAACCAAGGATAATTTACTAAAATTCACCTTTAAAAAAGACTGAATCTGGGGCTGGAGCGATAGCACAGCGGGTAGGGCATTTGCCTTGCACGCGGCTGACCCAGGTTCGATTCCCAGCATCCCAGATGGTCCCCTGAGTACCGCCATGGGTAATTCCTGAGTGCAGAGCCAGGAGTAAACCCTGTGCATCGCTGGGTGTGACCCAAAAAGTCAAAACCAAAAAAAAAAAAAAAAAAAAAAGATTGAATCTGCCATCTTGGATCTCTGCACCTGGTGTAACTCCCATAGTACAGTCTTTGGCATAAGTTAAATAACATATTCCCCATTCAGATGCCATGTAATTTTGAATTGATAGGCCATACAAATACAAACTAACTGTGGCTAGTCAGTAACTTGTAGCTAAATATCAGATAAGCATTAACATAGAACTCTGAAAGGGAAGGGGAAAAAATACGATAAAAAGAATGGAATTTTAAACTATCACACAGTATTTAATCACCTTTATGGGGAAAAAGTGATTAGGGAAAAAAAGTGAATAGAAAATAGAAAAGACAGGAGTATTTTGAAATGTTTACTAATTACCATAAATATATTTGTAATTGAGGTAACTGCTATAACTTCAAGCCCCATTCGTATCCTTTTTTGTTTTTCACAGTAAGCGTTCCAGGTATCTTCGTTAAACCCATAATTAAAATAATCAGAAAGGTCAGCGCCTAAAAAGAAGACACAACTTTTGTATGCAAGTATTTCAATCCTATTTTTATGCAGCAAATAAAATATAAAAATGTAAATGATAAGTTCTATAAGTATAAATACTTCTTCAAATTTTACTAGTTCTCCCGATTATTACTCTAGCACCACAAAACTATGTTTTTAATGAAATTTCCTTTATAAATGGCATTATAAGAAAATACTATGCTATGCAAGACTAATATAATGCTAAGCTACTGTTACAATTTAGCAACACAGGTCATTACTGCGAATTATGCTTAGGACATTTATAATGACATTTACAAAAATCCTATGAATACTATTGATACTGAAAGTTAGGTACTTCTCTAATGACTTTAATACAAAACATCTTTTAAAAATCTGCAATCCAGAGAGATAAGTCAAAGAACTAGAATGAATGCTTTGAATATAGATGCCCAGGTTTGATCACAAGCACACAGGTAACCAGTCATTGCCAGCAGACCTCAAGCACCATCAGGTGTTCCCAAGAAAAATCCAGTCCTCTTCTGCTGGGGAAACAGCTCGAGTATTAGAGCACATGCTCAGTGGCCTGGAGCACACTCCCGGGTACCACAATGTTCATCCCAGAAGACTGAGCATCACACACACTGAGTGCCCCAGGACCTTGAGGGTCACTGAGGCTGGTCCCAGGGAGGGGTATGGAGTCATTTATCATCTTACCAGGTTTACACCATGGTTTATCTTCAAAAGAATACAAATCTACCTCCAAGAGTGGAACTCCATTAATACTTCTAGGTGCATCGAGCTCTACCCCTTTGACTTTTGTTCCTTTTTTAACAAATACAAAATAGAGAAAGAATGGCATGAGCAAGATACTGAGAGAAAAACAGAAAACACCATTTTACTAGTGATAGCTCTCAATAAAACAAAGGCTTCAATGAGAACATTAGAGTCAGGCATACTATAGGAATAAGCACGTTATCAATAACAGTAAGTTTAAACTTTAGGGAAGAAACTCTAAGATAAAGTGTACGGATTAGGAACTTGTTAACTCATTCAAATAAATTCCTGTACCAATATGTACCAATAACTTCCAGGTGTTAAATCCCTTTTTATATGCTGTGAACTATAACAGGTCTTACAGGGTTGTACAAACAAGTTAAAATCAAAAGAGGGAAAGAAACCTCGTGACCCACAAACTCTACAAATACGTATTCTCTTACAAAGCCTTTCACAGAGAAAAGTTTCCCCATCCTTGAGACACAAGTTTAAACGACTCTCTTGAATTGAACTGAAGCACTCTTCAGATCACCTGTGATAGCTACTATAGTCTGTACGTTATTCAGGCATAGTCATTACTTTCCTACTGATGCACTGGCAAATACAAATTTTACCTGTAGTTCCATAAACTCTTCCTCCTGTCTTGATATTAAGATTCACTGGTGCTTTTCCGTAACTCCTAAGAACAACAAAAATTATTCTGATAATCCTGAACTAAACAAAAATAGCAATATACTCCATGTATACAAGTTATACATATATAGACTGACATTGACTAACATGTTTTAAAAAAGTGGGTGTGGGGGAGGGTTCCGAAGTGCTGATTAGGGGACCTAAGGGTCCCTTCCTGCCATTACTGTGGTCGGCAGTTCAATGCCTGGGTCTGAGAATGCAATGTTCTTCAAGCACTGCAGTACCAAGGATTATCTAGAGTACCCCAGTTGTGCTCAGAGACCTTCAGAGCCAATTCAGCAATGCTCGGGGGACGAGGTGGTGTCGGGGATCAAACTAAACTGGTTACAGGCAAATCAAGTGACTTAACTCGCTGTACTATTTCTCTGACCCCTAGGGGGAAAAAAGTCTTAATTTTTTGTCACTTATTAAACAAAAAATTTAAAAAAAAAAACAGATATTCTGGGATCAAGAAAGATAGTGCTGAAGGCCTTCAAAAGTACCCCCAGATGTGTCCTTGGAAGCACCTGAGCACGACTGGAACAATACGACCACATACATTGGCCCTCAAATTAAACCACCTACCATTGGGCTGAGAATCACTCGCAGTGAGGCCTGGGCCACCTGAACAAAGGGAGGACTCTTCCACAAAAGAAACAATTACATCTTATATGTTTGGGTTAGGGCACATACATAATATGAGCATGACCTGGGCATCATCCCCAACACAATCTGACCCCTCGCACACTGCCAGATTATTATCCAGGGGTCCCAAGCACTGTCACTGCTGCTCAAACAGCCAAGAATCAACAGGAGGAAATCCCCAAGGGCAAGGGGGCCCCGGAGCAACACCTGGCAGGCCTATCCCTAAAAAAATTCATTCCAGGCCATTAGCACTGAACACCACTTAGGAAGCCACCCCACTCCCCAATTCTCCCATGCCCCCCCAAAAGGGGGTCTTAAAAGTTGAATGTTTTTTTCTTCAAAAACCTACCTGCCAGTACATGTCCCACTGTTACACACTTCCCAAGAAACTAAGCTGGTCAAGGGAAAGTAGCACTGTAGCACCGTCCTCCCGTTGTTTATCGATTTGCTCGAGCGGGCACCAGTAACGTCTCACAACAAATTGGGAGACTTGTTCTTACTGTTTTTGGCATATTAAATACATCACAGGTAGCTTGCCAGACTTTACCCTGGGGGCGAGATACTCTCGGGCGGAGGAATCGAACCCAGGTCGCCATGTTGGCCACATGCAAGGCAAACGCCTTACCCACTGTGCTGTCACTCCAGCCCTAAAGCGTAAGTAACACATTTATATATACATCTTGTCCTCATTTCCTTGCCTCCTACTTAATTCAGTAGTCAGCAATCCTGTAAGAAAGAAGTAATAAGAAATAGTCCTTGTTTTATAATCCAGTGATCTCCTTTAGGCTCTCACTGCATTCAATACTGTTAGTAGATCGTCTTTCAAATACATGGACTACTTTTGTCCATAAAATAAATTCATAAAATGAAATCAATCTAAACCAAAACCAGAATGTGGTTGTTGGTGTAAGTGGTTAATGACGGAGAGAAAACAATAGGGAACAGGTTTCTAGAATGCGAGTACCATTCCATATCCTGATCTGCGTGGAAGTTACATGAAAACGAAACACTTGTAAAGATGAACTCAATTTCAATTAACGTAGTAAAATATACCTGAAAACAGAGGGAAAAGCTAAAATTTGGAGCCAGAACCCCATTCACATTCAAGGTTTAGCCAATATTACTTATGTGATTTTGGCCTAAGACCTGTATACATTTTCCTTAACAGTAATTTAGATAGCCACGAAGTGCTAGATCCCACATACCTGGGAGTCCAAAGGAATTTCAAGCAAGTATGTGAAAGTATTTCATTTTAACATGAATCTCCCACATTGACCAGATCAGTTATATTTTCAATTAACGTCTCGACAAGCCGTGAAGCCATTGAGTTCTCCAAGTTACCCATAATTCTGTTTAGTACTCAAAAGTATCTTCTTTATCCCCCCATTTTAACTTAGATCAAAGAATATAACATGGATTCACAGTCAGCCTTCTAGAGAGGTCTGTGCTAATGGACCCCTCCCTCACTTTCCACTTACCTCTCCACCCTCTACAGCCCAACTCTGCAACTTTCATCCACAAAAACTGTCTCTCCACAGCTCTTTTTCATGGTCATTTTCACTCATCCCCTCCTGATAATTCTTTTCAAAATTTTTTGGATGTTTCACAATCATCAGTTTGCTCCTGGCCGAATTCCACTATCCGGATAAGTCTCATCCAGAAATTAATTTTGAAAAACTCCAGCATGCAGGTTTTGTGATTGAAATCTCCAGCTTTCATGAGGTCAGGGAGGGTTCCCTCCCTCCATGTATCCCTGTTCTTCTGGAAGCCCGGCAGGAACACCTCCAGCGCCATGTGAGCTCTCTCACAGGCCATGATCCAGAATAAATTAGAATAACAAACTTAGAAATAAATCTTGAAAGAGATCAAGAATTTCTCTCGGATCCTGCACAAGGCTGAGTCATCCAGAGGCAACCCAGAGAGGAACGGGTGAATCCCCACGTCCACCCAAACAGAGTGCCAGCAGCCAAAAACCTCCACATTCCACAATCAGCTTTCAGAGATCGGGCACAGACTACCCTCTGTGCTTCTGGAAGCCCAGCCGTCAGGCCTATGCCCCAAAGCCACCAGTTAAGAATTTCACTCCATCTGTTACTCCGTCAACACTTTTGGACACCCTGGAGTGTGTGGATGCAATTCTGGCTACGCAACATCTCTAACTCTGTAACACTGTTAAGCCAGAAGTAGCACACCAGACTGGATGGTATGTAATATGAAAGGCAACCAATTTCAATTGACAAAATCTATATACAGAAGGCTTTACCTGTAACGTCTTAGTAATCTCTTACACAAGGTTTAAGGGCTCCATGGTGAGATAGAAGAATCTTCACTACCGGGGCTGGAGCAAAAAAGCAAACAAAGAAAAAATTCACAATCTTTCTTCTAAGGAAACAGTTTTTGATCATCCTTTTATCAAATTATTTATAACGAGCAATGTAAAATAAATAATAGTGGGTCTGCTATGGGGGCACGTTCAAGTGGTAGTTGGGAAAATTGGAAATAATGGTGGTGAGAAGGTGCAATGGTGGTGGACTGGTGTTGGAATATTAAATGTCTGTAATTAATGACTAAAAATCTGTTTTTTTTTTATTTTGCTTTTTGGGTCACACCCGGCGATGCACAGGGGTTACTCCTGGCTCTGCACTCAGGAGTTACTCCTGGCGGTGCTCAGCGGACCATATGGGATGCTGGGAATCGAACCTGGGTGGGCCCCATGCAAGGCAAACGCCCTGCCCGCTGTGTTATCTCTGCAGCCCCTAAAAATCACGGATTTAGGATTTAGTCACGGTCCTCCCGCTATTCATCGCTTTGCTCGAGCGGGCCCAGTAGCGTCTCCATCGGAGACTTTGTTGTTACTGTGTCTGGCATATCGAATACGTCACGGGGAGCTTGCCAGGCTCTGCCGTGCGGGCGAGATACTCTCGGCAGCTTGCCGGGCTCTCCGAGAGGGGCGGAGGAATCGAACTCGGGTCGGCCATATTGGCCGCTTGCAAGGCAAACGCCTTACTGCTGTGCTATCTCTCCAGCCCCTAAAAATCATTTTAAATTATTTTTTTAAAAAAATATACTATCAAGTTACACTGTATGCAGAGATTCAAGATAGGAGATTTAGTCTTTTTTTAAGTGAATTTTCATAAATTATCTTCTTCAGCAGGGAAGCTGCTGGCTTACTCTGGATTCAGCATCTCACGCAGACAGCAATTCAAAGCTACAGAAAAATCTGGAACGAACTCTGAAATATAGTTTTAAAATACATTTTAAAATATTTTAAAACTTCGGGGCCAGATAGATAGCACAGCAGGTTAGGCACTTGCCTTGCACACAGTTGATTAGGGTTGGATCCCTGACACCCGGTATGGTCCCTAAAACTCAACAGGAAGGATCCTTGAGCACAGAGATAGGAGCAAGCCCTGAGCACAGCTGGGTGTGGCTCCAACCCTCACCCCTGCTAAATATATATTTTTTAAAGGATCGGTTCCAGAGTAACACCTGAATATCTCTGGGTGTGCTCCTACTCCCCCAAACTAAAGAAACAAGCCATAGAGAGTTTAAAAATAAAAGCCTTCTGATTTTTTAAAAATCAATTAAAAAACTGAATTAAAAATATTAAAATCCTAGAGCTAAGAAAATAGCTCAAATAAAAGCACATGCCTAACATGTCAGATCCTGTACCATGAATACCACTGAAAGTATCCCCAACACTACCAGTTTTGGGCCTTATTTTAAAATATATACATATATAACATACATAAAAAAACAAAGCTCAAGATTGGAAGAATACAAGCTGCAATTTAATAGTTTCTAAATCTAAAAATTTGTAGCACTCATTTTACAAAAACACTTTCAGTCCTAGAATTACAAATTACTGATTCCATGCAACTTTTATAATTCAATTCACCATTAGGAAGGAAATGTTTTCCATGGCTAAGTATTTTTTGAGACATAAATAACAAAGAATTTGTTTTAGGTGTTCAACATGACTTGACATACATATACATACATATATGTATGTATATAAACTGCAAAATGCTGATCACAGCAATTTAACATTCATCATCACAGTTTTCATTTTCTTCTTATAAGAATGTTTAAGATGTACAACTTTTAGTAACTGAAAGTAAGACTTAAATAAGAATGCTTTCATATCATGATATGATAAAAAATGTAAAACCAACAGAATCTATCACTAACGTCTTAATAATGGCACCCAGTTTTTGATACAGGACTGTTAGTTAAAGAAGTAAAGGATGTATTTCAGTGGGAGAGCACATGCTTCACATGTATGTGGTCCTGGGATCAATTCCCTGCACCATAAGACTTGAAATTGAAAATTTAAAAACTTACCCATATTGTGGTGCTCCCGTTATAATGTCTCCGATAGTGACATGAACATCATCCTCATCATCATCACTGTCACTATCATATTCAGTTTCAGTCACTTTCTGTACCAACATAAACAGTAATAAAATAGATTCAATAATGCACCTTCAACATGAATAACTGAAACAGTAACCAATTTGTTTCATCTATGGGTTTAGAGTTATGAAACCAATGTTTCCATTTCTTCTTTGTAAATTTAATGTTTTAAAAACTAAAAAAGAGTGATAGAAATGTGAAAAGAGGCTGTCAAGAAGTTTTTGTATGACAAACTAATGTATCTTTATGCGTAAAGCTTTCTCTCTTGCAAAAAGGATCTAAGGGAATGTGCTAAGATATCCAGCAGATAGAACCATAAAAAGTAGGCATTTGAAGAACTTTTGGCAAAAGGAATGTGAAGATAAGAGTGAAAAATTAATTATGGAGCTGGAGCCATAGCATTGCAGGGAGGGCATTTGCCTTGCGCACGGCTGACCCTGGACTCGATTACCAGCATCCCATATGGTCCCTGAGCACTGCCAGGAATAATTCCTGAGTGCAGAGCCAGTGCATCAGCAGGTGTGCCCCGAAAAGAAAAAAAAATTAATCATACTAGGCACAGTGTTAGGTTAAAAAGCAACAAAATGTTACCAAAGAGCTCACCAGTCATGGCATTCATTTATATCTTAGAAGAGGTCTTGCCACAAAATGACCGGGAATATATTTTATCTGAAAAATGAAAAAACATCAGCATACTTAGGAAATCTCTTAGGAAAGTGTTATTCTGGCTCTAAACAGCTATTTTGTCCATAGTATCCTTTTGGTTAACTTTAAAAAAAAGGACCATTTAAACCAGTATTTATCAATAAGAGACGGTATGAGACCAGGATGTTCCAAGGGGCAACGGCAGAATTCCCATGGGTGGGAGAAAGCAGGAGACTAGAGGACCATTAGCAGGAGAGGGCAGGCCACCAGGCCACACGTGGAAAAAAAGGCTGGAAGGGGCCAGAGTCTGAAAAAGACGGAAAACCATGAACCTGGGAAAAACATTTTTACCAGGACAAGTTTAATCCTGCAGAGTACCAATCTCTTTCTCTCATAGAAATAATTGGTAAAGGTAAAGGCCCTCCCGTTGATCGTCGATTTGCTCGAGCGGGCCCAGTAACGTCTCCATTGGAGACTGTGTTGTTACTGTGTCTGGCATATCGAATACTCTCGGCAGCTTGCCGGGCTCTCCGAGAGGGGCGGAGGAATCGAACTCGGGTCAGCCATGTTGGCCGCGTGTAAGGCGAACGCCCTACCCGCTGTGCTATCGCTCCAGCCCAGAAATAATTGAATATATTAAAATCTTCAAAAGACCATGGTAAAATAATCCTGCAAAACATCACTTTGAAGGTGAATGAGGTCAGAGACCAACATACAAAATAACATCTTGCTTAAAAACAAAACCAAAAAAGCCAATTATTTCTTAAAAGAACTGTGATCATCTAACAGGTTCAGAACTCAAATGAAAGCAATAAACCTCTGCACACACTCTATTTCATCTGAACACCTTCCCACTATTTCTTTTCACTGTGCATCAAATAAAAATACCTGACAGCGAGATTGTGCAGGATACTCCAAAGTCTAGCTAAATGTAGACTTTCTTCTTAACTAGAAATCTACAGATTTTAAATACGGAAGCGACTGAATTCCAAAGCCTTATGTTACCGGTTTAGGAACACCATTTTCAGCAGCTTCCTCTTCAATTCCAGATGGAGGACTGGCACTACAAATAAAAACAAGTACACGTGTCTGTGGTTACTTTCGGGCAAGTGCCCGACTGTCGGGCAAGAGGCGCCCTTTTCCGCAGGTGCGTCCACGCGCACTGGCCCTCGGGAAAGGAGCCGTTGGCGGGGCGGGGCGGCGCCGTCCCCGGGGCGATGGGCGAAGCGCTGAGGACGGGAGGGCGGTGCGGGCAGCTCGGAGGCCGGGGAGGGCGTCCCGGCCGGGGGCCGCGAGGACAGAGCAAGGCTTCGCGGCAGGAGCGCCGGGGAGCACCGGGCGGCAGGTACCGGCGGCGGCAGCGGGGGCGGCGGCGGCAGGCACGTGGTGAGGCGCGCGCAGCGCGGCTTGTGCGCACGCGCAGCGGCGACCCAGCGGCGCGGCGGCGGCGACCTGAGCCTGACTGCGCCTGCGCGCGGCCGAGGCCCCGCCCCCCCCCCAAGAGATCCCGCCCCGCCTCGCAGGGAGGCTTTCTCGCCCGCTGAAAAGGAAAGAAAGAAAAGGAAAGAAAGGAAAGAGAGAAAAGGAAAGGAAAGAAAAGGAAAGAAAGGAAAGAAAAGGAAAGAAAGGAAAGAAAGGAAAGGAAAGAAAAGGAAAGAAAGGAAAGAGAGAAAAGGAAAGAAAGAAAAGGTAAAAAGGAAGCCCCCATGGGCAAAGCAAGAGGGATTTGCAGAGGGCGGGTGGGGGGGGGGAGGCGCAGCTGACGCGGACGCGGGCGAGAAAGCCTCGCTGCGAGGCGGGGCCGGATCTCTTGGGGGCGGGGCCTCGGTCCCGCGCAGGCGCAGGCGCAGTCAGGCTCAGGTCGCCGCCGCCGCGCCGCTGGGTCGCCGCTGCGCGTGCGCACAAGCCGCGCTGCGTGCGCCTCACCATGTGCCTTTCGCCGCCGCCGCCGCCCCCGCCGCCGCCCCCGCTGCCGCCCCCGCCCCCGCCGCCGGTACCTGCCGCCCGGTGCTCCCCGGCGCTCCTCCCGCGAAGCCTCGCTCTGTCCTCGCGTCCCCCGGCCGGGACGCCCTCCCCGGCCTCCGAGCTGCCCGCACCGCCCTCCTGTCCTCAGCGCTTCGCCCAGCGCCCCGGGAACGGCGCCGCCCCCGCCCCGCCAACGGCTCCTTTCCTGAGGGTCCTTATCTATAAGACGGAAACCGGTTAATCCGCACTCTCAGAATTACTTTATTTTATTTTGCTTTTTGGGGGGGTCACACCCGGCGACGCTCAGGGCTTCCTCCCGGCTCTGCGCTCGGGAATTACCCGGCGGTGCTCGGGGGACCCTGTGGGATGCTGGGAATCGAACCTGGGTCAGCCACGTGCAAGGGAAACGCCCTCCCCACTGTGCTCTCACTCCGGCCCCCCAGAATTGCTTTATGAAGTTTAGTTTTGGGGCCACACTCTGCCTGCGTGGAACCATTCTTGGCGGGCGTTGGGGACCATGTGGGGTGATGGGGCTCCCACATGCCGGCGGCGGCAGCGGGGGCGGCGGCGGCAGCGGAGACCTGGTTCGGCGCGCGGCGCAGTTTTTGCGCACGCGCAGCGGCGATCCAGTGGCGCGGCTGCGGCGACCTGAGCCTGACTGCGCCTGCGCCTGCGCGGGACCGAGGCCCCGCCCCCAAGAGATCCCGCCCCGCCTCGCAGCGAGGCTTTCTCGCCCGCGTCCGCGTCAGCTGCGCCTCCCCCCCCCCACCCGCCCTCTGCAAATCCCTCTTGCTTTGCCCATGGGGGCTTCCTTTTTACCTTTTCTTTCTTTCCTTTTCTCTCTTTCCTTTCTTTCCTTTTCTTTCCTTTCCTTTCTTTCCTTTCTTTCCTTTTCTTTCCTTTCTTTCCTTTTCTTTCCTTTCCTTTTCTCTCTTTCCTTTCTTTCCTTTTCTTTCTTTCCTTTTCAGCGGGCGAGAAAGCCTCCCTGCGAGGCGGGGCGGGATCTCTTGGGGGGGGGGCGGGGCCTCGGCCGCGCGCAGGCGCAGTCAGGCTCAGGTCGCCGCCGCCGCGCCGCTGGGTCGCCGCTGCGCGTGCGCACAAGCCGCGCCGCGCGCGCCTCACCACGTGCCTGCCGCCGCCGCCCCCGCTGCCGCCGCCGGTACCTGCAGCCCGGTGCTCCCCGGCGCTCCTGCCGCGAAGCCTTGCTCTGTCCTCGCGGCCCCCGGCCGGGACGCCCTCCCCGGCCTCCGAGCTGCCCGCACCGCCCTCCCGTCCTCAGCGCTTCGCCCATCGCCCCGGGGACGGCGCCGCCCCGCCCCGCCAACGGCTCCTTTCCCGAGGGCCAGTGCGCGTGGACGCACCTGCGGAAAAGGGCGCCTCTTGCCCGACAGTCGGGCACTTGCCCGAAAGTAACCACAGACACGTGTACTTGTTTTTATTTGTAGTGCCAGTCCTCCATCTGGAATTGAAGAGGAAGCTGCTGAAAATGGTGTTCCTAAACCGGTAACATAAGGCTTTGGAATTCAGTCGCTTCCGTATTTAAAATCTGTAGATTTCTAGTTAAGAAGAAAGTCTACATTTAGCTAGACTTTGGAGTATCCTGCACAATCTCGCTGTCAGGTATTTTTATTTGATGCACAGTGAAAAGAAATAGTGGGAAGGTGTTCAGATGAAATAGAGTGTGTGCAGAGGTTTATTGCTTTCATTTGAGTTCTGAACCTGTTAGATGATCACAGTTCTTTTAAGAAATAATTGGCTTTTTTGGTTTTGTTTTTAAGCAAGATGTTATTTTGTATGTTGGTCTCTGACCTCATTCACCTTCAAAGTGATGTTTTGCAGGATTATTTTACCATGGTCTTTTGAAGATTTTAATATATTCAATTATTTCTGGGCTGGAGCGATAGCACAGCGGGTAGGGCGTTCGCCTTACACGCGGCCAACATGGCTGACCCGAGTTCGATTCCTCCGCCCCTCTCGGAGAGCCCGGCAAGCTGCCGAGAGTATTCGATATGCCAGACACAGTAACAACACAGTCTCCAATGGAGACGTTACTGGGCCCGCTCGAGCAAATCGACGATCAACGGGAGGGCCTTTACCTTTACCAATTATTTCTATGAGAGAAAGAGATTGGTACTCTGCAGGATTAAACTTGTCCTGGTAAAAATGTTTTTCCCAGGTTCATGGTTTTCCGTCTTTTTCAGACTCTGGCCCCTTCCAGCCTTTTTTTCCACGTGTGGCCTGGTGGCCTGCCCTCTCCTGCTAATGGTCCTCTAGTCTCCTGCTTTCTCCCACCCATGGGAATTCTGCCGTTGCCCCTTGGAACATCCTGGTCTCATACCGTCTCTTATTGATAAATACTGGTTTAAATGGTCCTTTTTTTTAAAGTTAACCAAAAGGATACTATGGACAAAATAGCTGTTTAGAGCCAGAATAACACTTTCCTAAGAGATTTCCTAAGTATGCTGATGTTTTTTCATTTTTCAGATAAAATATATTCCCGGTCATTTTGTGGCAAGACCTCTTCTAAGATATAAATGAATGCCATGACTGGTGAGCTCTTTGGTAACATTTTGTTGCTTTTTAACCTAACACTGTGCCTAGTATGATTAATTTTTTTTTCTTTTCGGGGCACACCTGCTGATGCACTGGCTCTGCACTCAGGAATTATTCCTGGCAGTGCTCAGGGACCATATGGGATGCTGGTAATCGAGTCCAGGGTCAGCCGTGCGCAAGGCAAATGCCCTCCCTGCAATGCTATGGCTCCAGCTCCATAATTAATTTTTCACTCTTATCTTCACATTCCTTTTGCCAAAAGTTCTTCAAATGCCTACTTTTTATGGTTCTATCTGCTGGATATCTTAGCACATTCCCTTAGATCCTTTTTGCAAGAGAGAAAGCTTTACGCATAAAGATACATTAGTTTGTCATACAAAAACTTCTTGACAGCCTCTTTTCACATTTCTATCACTCTTTTTTAGTTTTTAAAACATTAAATTTACAAAGAAGAAATGGAAACATTGGTTTCATAACTCTAAACCCATAGATGAAACAAATTGGTTACTGTTTCAGTTATTCATGTTGAAGGTGCATTATTGAATCTATTTTATTACTGTTTATGTTGGTACAGAAAGTGACTGAAACTGAATATGATAGTGACAGTGATGATGATGAGGATGATGTTCATGTCACTATCGGAGACATTATAACGGGAGCACCACAATATGGGTAAGTTTTTAAATTTTCAATTTCAAGTCTTATGGTGCAGGGAATTGATCCCAGGACCACATACATGTGAAGCATGTGCTCTCCCACTGAAATACATCCTTTACTTCTTTAACTAACAGTCCTGTATCAAAAACTGGGTGCCATTATTAAGACGTTAGTGATAGATTCTGTTGGTTTTACATTTTTTATCATATCATGATATGAAAGCATTCTTATTTAAGTCTTACTTTCAGTTACTAAAAGTTGTACATCTTAAACATTCTTATAAGAAGAAAATGAAACTGTGATGTTGAATGTTAAATTGCTGTGATCAGCATTTTGCAGTTTATATACATACATATATGTATGTATATGTATGTCAAGTCATGTTGAACACCTAAAACAAATTCTTTGTTATTTATGTCTCAAAAAATACTTAGCCATGGAAAACATTTCCTTCCTAATGGTGAATTGAATTATAAAAGTTGCATGGAATCAGTAATTTGTAATTCTAGGACTGAAAGTGTTTTTGTAAAATGAGTGCTACAAATTTTTAGATTTAGAAACTATTAAATTGCAGCTTGTATTCTTCCAATCTTGAGCTTTGTTTTTTTATGTATGTTATATATGTATATATTTTAAAATAAGGCCCAAAACTGGTAGTGTTGGGGATACTTTCAGTGGTATTCATGGTACAGGATCTGACATGTTAGGCATGTGCTTTTATTTGAGCTATTTTCTTAGCTCTAGGATTTTAATATTTTTAATTCAGTTTTTTAATTGATTTTTAAAAAATCAGAAGGCTTTTATTTTTAAACTCTCTATGGCTTGTTTCTTTAGTTTGGGGGAGTAGGAGCACACCCAGAGATATTCAGGTGTTACTCTGGAACCGATCCTTTAAAAAATATATATTTAGCAGGGGTGAGGGTTGGAGCCACACCCAGCTGTGCTCAGGGCTTGCTCCTATCTCTGTGCTCAAGGATCCTTCCTGTTGAGTTTTAGGGACCATACCGGGTGTCAGGGATCCAACCCTAATCAACTGTGTGCAAGGCAAGTGCCTAACCTGCTGTGCTATCTATCTGGCCCCGAAGTTTTAAAATATTTTAAAATGTATTTTAAAACTATATTTCAGAGTTCGTTCCAGATTTTTCTGTAGCTTTGAATTGCTGTCTGCGTGAGATGCTGAATCCAGAGTAAGCCAGCAGCTTCCCTGCTGAAGAAGATAATTTATGAAAATTCACTTAAAAAAAGACTAAATCTCCTATCTTGAATCTCTGCATACAGTGTAACTTGATAGTATATTTTTTTAAAAAAATAATTTAAAATGATTTTTAGGGGCTGGAGAGATAGCACAGCAGTAAGGCGTTTGCCTTGCAAGCGGCCAATATGGCCGACCCGAGTTCGATTCCTCCGCCCCTCTCGGAGAGCCCGGCAAGCTGCCGAGAGTATCTCGCCCGCACGGCAGAGCCTGGCAAGCTCCCCGTGACGTATTCGATATGCCAGACACAGTAACAACAAAGTCTCCGATGGAGACGCTACTGGGCCCGCTCGAGCAAAGCGATGAATAGCGGGAGGACCGTGACTAAATCCTAAATCCGTGATTTTTAGGGGCTGCAGAGATAACACAGCGGGCAGGGCGTTTGCCTTGCATGGGGCCCACCCAGGTTCGATTCCCAGCATCCCATATGGTCCGCTGAGCACCGCCAGGAGTAACTCCTGAGTGCAGAGCCAGGAGTAACCCCTGTGCATCGCCGGGTGTGACCCAAAAAGCAAAATAAAAAAAAAACAGATTTTTAGTCATTAATTACAGACATTTAATATTCCAACACCAGTCCACCACCATTGCACCTTCTCACCACCATTATTTCCAATTTTCCCAACTACCACTTGAACGTGCCCCCATAGCAGACCCACTATTATTTATTTTACATTGCTCGTTATAAATAATTTGATAAAAGGATGATCAAAAACTGTTTCCTTAGAAGAAAGATTGTGAATTTTTTCTTTGTTTGCTTTTTTGCTCCAGCCCCGGTAGTGAAGATTCTTCTATCTCACCATGGAGCCCTTAAACCTTGTGTAAGAGATTACTAAGACGTTACAGGTAAAGCCTTCTGTATATAGATTTTGTCAATTGAAATTGGTTGCCTTTCATATTACATACCATCCAGTCTGGTGTGCTACTTCTGGCTTAACAGTGTTACAGAGTTAGAGATGTTGCGTAGCCAGAATTGCATCCACACACTCCAGGGTGTCCAAAAGTGTTGACGGAGTAACAGATGGAGTGAAATTCTTAACTGGTGGCTTTGGGGCATAGGCCTGACGGCTGGGCTTCCAGAAGCACAGAGGGTAGTCTGTGCCCGATCTCTGAAAGCTGATTGTGGAATGTGGAGGTTTTTGGCTGCTGGCACTCTGTTTGGGTGGACGTGGGGATTCACCCGTTCCTCTCTGGGTTGCCTCTGGATGACTCAGCCTTGTGCAGGATCCGAGAGAAATTCTTGATCTCTTTCAAGATTTATTTCTAAGTTTGTTATTCTAATTTATTCTGGATCATGGCCTGTGAGAGAGCTCACATGGCGCTGGAGGTGTTCCTGCCGGGCTTCCAGAAGAACAGGGATACATGGAGGGAGGGAACCCTCCCTGACCTCATGAAAGCTGGAGATTTCAATCACAAAACCTGCATGCTGGAGTTTTTCAAAATTAATTTCTGGATGAGACTTATCCGGATAGTGGAATTCGGCCAGGAGCAAACTGA